TCCATGGGCATTTCGCTGGGGAATTTCCATTGTGTACCGTCATGTGAGAATCCAACAAACTCTGTTTCGCAAATGACCAACTGCAGCCCGAATAGTTGCAACGGTGCGCACCTTAATGGATCTGTTAGATGGAATAGTCGATTAATTTAAGTCAAAAGCAAAAGTTAGCTCCCTCTTTACAATATCCATTTTCTAGAACACGCAAAGTCGGAAGTAGTTCGAGTGGTGCAAGTATTAATCGCAGGTATTTATTGACAATGCTGTTGATGGGTTCCTCTTTCAGTAGTTATTTTAAAAGCAAGCTGATGTCGATTTTAGCTTTAGGCACACGCCAGTAGCAGTTTACCTATCGAAGAGAATGAACTATTCGTAACTGTCCTTGAGGCAAAGTTCTACCTCAGATCGGTAATACTAATAGCGTTACTAACGGCTGCTCTATGCAATTTAGCTATTTAGCTAAACGACGCTGCGAAAGCAAGGCTAAACTAAATTCAAACCTCGGTCGATGTGACTTTTGGCTTGATGTGATGTGAGGCGCGTTTTTCTCCAAAACCATTCAAGACAGTCCGCACACTTATGCACTGAAGCTTTGGGGGAATTAGTCAGCACATGCTGCAGGAGGTGCTCAGAAAGTAAGGCGGCAGTTGCGAGGGGAGTACCACAACGTAACCAGTGGCAGACGAATTCGCTTCTTTTATTGTGGCTTCGCAAATGCTGCACGTATCTTTCGTTCAGGTTGAAGCCCTCCTTACATCCGGAAAACCCACACAAGTAGTCAGGGGGTGCAACCGCGGTTTTCTCCAAACGTTCGCTGATTTTCGTAATTTCCTTCAACGGTTCACCATCACTTGTCAAGGCTTTATCACCAGCTGTAGTTTCCTTCAAGGTCTTGTCACGATCGTTTGTCTTTTTCGACGAATTTCCGTAATCTGTAATATTCTTGGAGGATTCGCCATCCGTTTCGCCAAAAATCTGTTGAAAAATTACACTTTCCCTCAGTTCATCAAACTCAGTTTTTCCAGAACTTCCTGCTAGTTGAATTTGGTTGCTTCCCGGAATTTGAGTGTTAGACAGTAGATCAGAGGAACTGTGCGGCTGCTGAGCAAGATTTTTATCGTGGTTGTAAATCTGATTAACGAAATTCTCATACTGCGATATGTAATCGTTGGGAAGCTTTCTGGAGGTTTCAGGCTCAGCGGGTTCGTCAAAAAATTTTTGATCACGATTTAGTGGTTCCTGGCCTAATCCTTCTATGAACCCGTATGGTAATTCGAAATTCGTTCCTAACGGAGGGAAGTCAGCTTCCAGTTCATCAGACTCAGTTTTTCCAGAGTTTCCTGCTAGTTGAATTTGGCTGCTTTCCTGAATCTGAGTTAAAGATTCCTGGCGTAATCTTTCTATGAGTCCGTCTGGTAATTCGAAATCCACTTGTGACATATAGAAGTCAACATCCCACTGCTCCGGAACGCATTCAGCAAACGCTGGATCATTTGCTTGCACCGTTATGGGATATGGATCCATAGTTAGTAGCTCAGTAAGGTCATCATCGGTACTTGCCTCCACATGAAAAGAGCCTGGTACGCCAAAGTAACTTTCGCGCGTTTGCGGCATTTGAAATTGTGTTGGCATTTCCAAATTTGTTTCATTATCAGCTCGTGCGGTAAAAAAACCAGTAAAAATTAAAAGGTACGAAATATAGGCGACAAGTTTTCGCATATGTGGCATCAATAATACGATATGTGCGGGAATGAAAACGGAGAAGGAAACAATGAATCTGATGTGCAAATACTCCATTAATATGCTATGCAGTCACTCCTCATTCAGGATTATAATGGGCAAAGTTTAACAAAAAAAA